ATATATATATATATGACAAATATATATTCTCTTACATAAATTACATATATACTCATAGCATCATGATAGCTACTGAGATGATTGCAGTTATGTTTAACCCACTTCACGCATGAGCTCACATCCCCCCCTCCCTCCCCGATGGACTAGCTCACAATCAAAACTCACCGCAGACAGATCTTGCTGTATGTGTGACGGCGACAGATTCTGTTGGAAATCACTACAAAAAAACAGACATCCGTAAATATAATAGTTAGTCTTTTAATGGACTTTAGTTATTCGTCACTTTGCAGATGTACGCTTAATAATGCCAGACTTCAGCAATAGTATCCAAGAATATATTGTGTTTTAACATTCATGATGTCATGAAAACACAAGGTGAATAGTATGCTATAAAATGAGCGCACTGGGAACTTGCAAAAACATGTAAGCTTTGTGTTAGCTACAGACGATACAAGAACCGACTCGCATTGCCAGCACTGTAACATTGATGTGTTTTCATGTTTTCATGTGTCTTTGCATTTAAAATATGTGTTAAAATTTGTGTGGGTAAAATATACGAATAAATGTGTTTAACAACAGTAGACCACAAACCTTATCCAAGGTATACCTACAACAACTTGATACACATGCAGTTAAAGCTATCAAAGCAGAAAACCATTTCTTATATTTTGGCGACAGCTTTCACAGAACCAAAAAAGGCACTTACGGCGTGACGATCCTTAGTGAATCCAGCGAAAACTCTTTGTTAACACTGTGGAATCGTAGAGAACAACATTAGTTAGAACACGTCGCGTTGCGATCAGATTGCACATGTAATTTCGCAGCACTTGCCTTCAGAAATGGCTTATTCTTATAATAAGACTAAACCCGTCATTATATTAATATGCAGCAAGTACTGCTTGGACGCGATGGATGTACGTAAACATTCAAATTAGATACGCAGTTGCTTCTGGTAACTCTCTGAATTCGAACAATAATGATATATGCAACGATGAACTTACCCTGGGTTAGTTTGGGAGCGCATGTAAAATTTGTGCTGCAGGACACATAGCTTCCACACGTATTTTGCCATCTCTGGATCCTCCTGCAAACAGACACAATGACCAGAATCTATCACTGTACTTCAGACAGGCAAATGCGTTGGGCCCTAAACGAACCGTAGGTTATCAACGGCCGTTGCAACGAACACATAGCTAAATTTATACTTTCAATCAAAGATGCTCACAGATGTTTACAGTCATTATGCTAATTATAATGAAAGAACAGTGCCT